TCCCTTATCATCCTTATCCTCATTCCCACCCGATCCGCGCGTGCTCTCACCAGCCTTGAACTTGGAGCCGGTGATGGTGAGCGCCGAGAGCGCCGTGTAGCCCCCTGCGGAGCCGCCGTCGATGCAGAGGCGCTCCGGGTCGACGAGGCCCTCCTGCACCAGGTAGTCCGCGCCCGCCAGCACGTCGTCCACGTCATACACGCCCCACCTGCAGGGGAAAAGAAGGGGGGGGGGTGAGAAGCGGGAAGGAGGAGGAAGAAGAGGGAGGAGAAGAGGGAAGGTGGAATAATAAGAGAAGGGATGAGAAGAGGGAAAGAAGAATGAGAAGAGACGAGGACGAGAAGAGGGAAGGAGGGAAGAAGAAGAAAAAGAGGAAGATGGAGGAGATGGAGGAGGGATGAGAAGAGATAAGGAGGAAGACGAGGAAGAGGGATGAGAAGCGGAAAGGAGGAGGAAGAAGAGGGAGAAGAGGGAAGGTGGAATAGGAAGAGAAGGGATGAGAAGAGAGAAAGAAGATTAAAAGAGACAAGGCAGAAGAGGACGAGGAGGGATGAGAGGAGGGAGGAGGAAGAAAAAGAAGTAGAAGTAGAGGAGGAGGAGAGGGAAGATGGAGGAAGAAGGAGGGATAAGAAGAGGGAAGGGGGGGGTGGAGGAAGAGGAGGATGGCAAGAAGGTTGGGAAAAAAGGCGACGGATGGGAGGAAGAAAGAAAGAAGATATGGAGAGGTGGGGGAAGTAGAAGGAGGTAAAAAGTGATGGGAGAAAGGAAGAGAATCAGGAGGCATAGGAAAAAAGATGAGGTATAGAAGGGATGAGAGGAAAAAGGAAAAAGGAGGAGGAATGAGAAAGAAGGAAAAGGAAGAAGGGGGATAAGGAGAGAAGAAGGAAGAGGGAGAGGAGGGATGATAGGAGGAGGAAAAGAAGGGACAAAAGAAAAAAGAGAAACAGGAGAGATAGGAGGAGATAGAAGAAGAATGAAAACAAATGGGACATAATGAGAAAGAGGGAGATGAATGATAACAGAAAGGAAAGAAGAGAAAGAAAAGGGATAGGGTGAAGGATGGCAGAAGGAGACAAGGGATAGGAAGAAGGAAGGAGGAAAATGAGGGATTGGATGCAGGAAGGAACAGGAAATGGAGGAATTTAGAGAATAGAAAAGGAGAGGAATGAGAGAAAGGGAGAGATATGGGAAGGAAAGAGGAAGAGGAGAGATAGGAAGAGAAGGAAGAGTAGGGAAGAAGGAAGATGGGAAAAGAGACATAATAAGGGAAAGGAATGGAAGCAAGAGGAGAAGGAAGAAAGAAAGGAAGAAGAAATGATAGGATAGAAAAAAAATGGGAAGAGACGGAATAAAAGAAAGGAATGGAAGCAAGAGGAAAAGCAAGGGAAGAAAGGAGGGAAGAGGACGCGAAGGGACAGAAGGAAGGGAAAAGGGGGACACCGAAGAGGTATTCCTAATAGCTGCCCTACGTTTCTACCCTCAGAGGCCCCTTTCACTTCTTCCTTTGTTTGTTTTCTGCGTTTTTCCATCTAAGGCCGTGTTTTCTCGATGGCTGATCAAGGTAGCAGGCCCCGAGAATGGAAAGTCAGCAAGCAATTTGGAACATAAACTCTGCTGATGCCACGGAAGGAAAATAATGGGTTTTTCCTTTCTCACATCCCGTGTCTATCTATCTCTTATTCACTTCTTGTTCTCCTCATTCTCCGCCCTCTCGCTTCCCCTTCTTAGTCCCTTTCCTTTTCCTTCGCAACCCTCCTTTCTCCCTTCCTACATCCCTTCTCGCTCTCTCCCTCTTTGCCCCTTCCCCCTGTCCCTCCCTTCCCTCATCCCCCTCCCTCTATGTCCCACCCCCTTCCCTCCTCGTCAGCCCCCTTCCCTCCTTCTTTCCTCTTTCCCTCTGCCCCTTCTCCCTTACAACCTCCCTTAAAGCCTTGCCCCGTCCCCTTCCCTCCTCCCCCCCTTAACTCCCCACCCCTTCCCTCCCTCCCCCCTCGCCCCCCACGTACATCTCGTGCAGCTTGGTCCTGTAGAGCGTGCCGTAGCCGGTGCTGCCCCTGTAGTCGACGTCGAGGATGGCGAAGCCGCGGGAGGTGAAGAACTGGACGGCGGCGCTGTAGGTCTTGGTGGCCGCGGCCGTCGGGCCACCGTGGGCTTTCACGAGCAGGGGGGGGCGCGTCCCCGGGGGCGCACGGTAGTCCTTGTTCTGGGGGAAATGAGGGCGTGGCTAAAAGGGCAAGGGAAGAGGGAACGGAGAGCGCAGAGGCATCAAAAGAACAGGCCAACAAGAAAGGAAAGAAAATGTGGCCGCGTTTGTGATGATGATGATGACGAGGATGATGACGAGGATGATGATGAGGATGAGGATGAGGATGAGGATGACGATGGCGATCATGATGATGACGATGACGATGATGATGACGATGATGATGACTAATGATAATGATAATGATAATGATAATGATGATTGATGATGGTGAGTATGAGGACGGTGATAACGATGATGACTGATGATGATAATGATATTAACTTATTATTATGATTATTACAGCAATAATAACGATGACAATACTGAACCCAGCAAGAGCACTGACACCGGGCAGCTCCCCGCACGCACCTTGGGCATGTAGAGGTACCCGTAGGCGAAGTCGCCTTGGGTCGTCGGGAACTGGATCTGCCTGGCGACGCTGATGTAGTGGGGGTCGACGACGGGGTGGCCTGGGTCAGAGCCCTCCTCCCCCTCGGCGGTCCATCTCCCCAGGGGCGTCGCCTCCCCTGAGGACACGTTCACCTCCACCAGACGTGGTCCGCGGAGGCTGTCCGCAGCCACGGTGTAGACCTGGACGAATCACAAGGAGGTTCCAGAGAGAAAACGAACACAGGATTGCGCCGGAGAGGATTCCTTGGCCAGCTGGCTTGGAGGTCTTGACTCAAGGACATGCACGGATTCAGTGGTCGTCTTTTTATGTGCATAACAGTGCATATCTTCGTTTATCTAGAGTCAGTGATGAAAAAAAAATTGCCATATATATCTTTCCATCTAGCTTAAAAATGTAGGGGAGGCCTCAAGGAAACTAGCCTCCAGGACGACGCCTCTGCCCCCAATCCAGGCCTCCCCACACCCTCCCCCACACCTTCCCCCACGTACCTTGGAGCCGTCGAGCGAGTAGGCCACGCCCATGGTGTAGGCCGCGTAGCCCGTCTTGAGGACCCTCCGCTCCAGCGAGACCAGATCCACCACGGTCAGGTCCTGTGGAGGGGGGGGGGGCGCCGTTTGAGTTCCTGTTACTGTTAGTGTCGCCTTTTTTATCAGCGTTCCCGATTATCACCTTATTCCGTGTATTGTTATTGTATTCTTTATGTGTTTTTTTATATTGTAATTTCATAGAATTGTTTTCGCTGTTTTACTCATTTTCTTTTTAATGATTTTTACTAATTTTACGATTATTCTATAATTCAAGTTATTAGTAGTCTTCCTATTTCTAATGATTTATGTGAAACGTCGCATCTTCCTATGATTATATTCATTATTACAATTCTAATTTTCATTCATTTTATTATTATCAGCATGATTATCATCAATATAACTATCATTATCATACTACAGCTACTACTACAACTGCTGCTCCTGTTACTACTACCATATCAACAACTACTATTACTATTACCTCCACTACTCTCATTACTATTACTATTATAGAGTCAGAGAGAGAAAGAGGAAGAGAGAAAGAGAAAGAGAGAAAGAGAGTGAGAGAGAGAGAGAGAGAGAGAGAGAGAGAGAGAGAGAGAGAGAGAGAGAGAGAGAGAGAGAGAGAGAGAGAGAGAGAGAGAGAGAGAGAGAGAGAGAGAGAGAGAGAGAGAGAGAGAGAGAGAGAGAGAGAGAGAGAGAGAGAGAGAGAGAGAGAGAGAGAGAGAGAGAGAGAGAGAGAGAGAGAGAGAGAGAGAGAGAGAGAGAGAGAGAGAGAGAGAGAGAGAGAGAGAGAGAGAGAGAGAGAGAGAGAGAGAGAGAGAGAGAGAGAGAGAGAGAAGAGCAAATTAAAACAAAAACAACTAAAACTTACGTGTCCGCAAATGGCAACCACTTCGTCGGCGCCCAGACGGGGGTTCACGGCGTAAGCTTGGCGGCCGAAACTAGGGGGGGGGGGGGGAAAAAGGGAAAAGGTGGAAGATGTGGAGAAAGGAGAGATGTAGAAAACGAAGAAAGGGAGGTAGGGAGAAAAGGAAATTTTATTACTTTTCGTTTATACCTGATTTGGCGTTTGCCTTTACTTATATTATGGTTTGATGTAGCCTGTACCCTTCGTAAGTTTAATATATCTATGCTTCAAGTTCCACTGCAACTGTTGCATTTTTGACGAAACGTGGGTGCTTAAGTTTCAATTGACTATCTAAAATCCCTGTTCCATTTACATAAAGACATATATGTATAGAGTACACACGCTCGTGCGTTCGCACATATATATCCACATATAATTACACATACACAACAGTTACAATCTCTCTTTCTCTCTCTCTCTCTCTCTCTCTCTCTCTCTCTCTCTCTCTCTCTCTCTCTCTCTCTCTCTCTCTCTCTCTCTCTCTGTGTTGCTTCGTCTGTTACATGTGAGTGCCACTAAATTGTGTATGTTAGACTGGGATTAAATTTTACAACAACTGCTTGCGTCCGTATATTAAATGCGTAGTGCGTATTTGATTTTTAGTTTGCATTTCTCTCTCTCTCTCTCTCTCTCTCTCTCTCTCTCTCTCTCTCTCTCTCTCTCTCTCTCTCTCTCTCCCTCCCTCTCTCTCTCTCTCTCTCTCTCTCTCTCTCTCTCTCTCTCTCTCCTCTCTCCCTCTCTCCCTCTCTCCCTCTCTCCCTCTCTCCCTCTCTCTGTGTTTGTTAGACTGGGATTAAATTTTACAACAACTGCTTGCGTCCGTATATTAAATGCGTAGTGCGTATTTGATTTTTAGTTTGCATTTCTCTCTCTCTCTCTCACTCTCTCTCTCTCTCTCTCTCTCTCTCTCTCTCTCTCTCTCTCTCTCTCTCTCTCTCTCTCTCTCTCTCTCTCTCTCCCTCCCTCTCTCTCTCTCTCTCTCTCTCTCTCTCTCTCCCTCTCTCCCTCTCTCCCTCTCTCCCTCTCTCCCTCTCTCCCTCTCTCCCTCCCTCCCTCCCTCCCTCCCTCCCTCTCTCTCTCTCTCTCTCTCTCTCTCTCTCTCTCTCTCTCTCTCTCTCTCTCTCGCTCGCTCGCTCTCGCACACAGAAGCTGGTAACAGCGGGCACCAGGAAGCCGCGTTCAACTCACTACCACATGGGCCATCCGACCTCCTGGGACTGCGGCGTCAGGTTCCGCTCAAAGTTCCTGCGTGTCACCTGGTAGAGGTTCCACCAGCCCGTGGAGTCGTGCACGTAGTACAGCTGATTGTTCTGGTCGAAGGACGGCGTCATCATGCTGCACAGAAGGGGGACAGAGGAGCAGCTTTAGGGGAAAAATGGGTAAGGTAGCCCTACCTTACCGCCTCTTTTTTCGACTCGAAACTTCGGCTTAGAGGGTTAAAAAGCAAGGTAGAGAAGCTTTGAAGCTAAGAATGGTCTGGCCAGTTTTCGCTCGCCATTCTGAGTTGAAGAGTCGGAGCCGAACAAGTCTAATGCTATAACGGATTCCATTTGACAAGACAAAACAAGGAAATTGCTGTCTGCTGCAAAAATCTGATATCGAGTGTGATGGTAACGTGAATAACATGACTGTTCAGTTTTTTCTCATGATAAGAACGTTAGCAGTCACTGGACAGCTAAGTATAATTCCCATGGCCTTGTTTTGTAAGATCACAAGGGGCTGGAGAGGATAGTATTCGCTTAAAAAAAGTGTATCTCACAAATTTACTTCCGTTCACAGATTCCTTACCACTTGCGGCCCAAACGTACCTGCCATGCTGGAAGTATTTCGCGATGGCAACCTTCCCCAGGCTGTACTTAATTTCGCCAACGAACATCCGCGTTTCTCCCCAGGGCTGTCGGGAATGAGAAAGAGATAATACCTTTTTCCTATCATTCGAAAAGGTTTCTCACTTGCCTCATGTTTTGGAGGAATATAATTTATTTTAAGTGGGGTAAGGCATATCTATGAATTAACTCTCAGCCAACATTTATATAAATTATTTTTGACTTGTCTCACCCTCATTTCTCTCTAGTTGACAATAATATGTGGCCCAATTTCATAATTTTTCCCCAATAGTTTACTTTAACTATTCACCTTCTGCTGCATCCTACGCCTGTTCCGTCGACTTTTCACCCCGCTCTTCCTCCTCCCCTTCATGCTTATCCTCTTCGTTTACCGCCTCTTCCTTCTCTTCCACTACTAACTTTCCATCTTTTCTACACTCCCCTACCTCGTTTGCGTAACTGCATTTTAATTAACTATCCTGTATATCTGCCAAGAGTAGATATAAAGTATATGTAGAGACATAACTTCTTCCCCCACTCCCTAGTATAGTAATAATAGTGCACCCCGGCATCAAGTTTTCCCTGCCAATAATGAACAGCCGTGTTTGTAATCAACCTTCGACCACATCATACGTAAACTATACACAATGTTTACACTCTTCCTTCTCTTCCAAATCTTTCGCTTCTACCTCCCATTTACAGCTCGTTTCCTGCTCTAA